CCCAAAGTCATCAAATATCCGGCTGTACAAAGCAGAGTTGTATTCTAAAGGCAGATGGTTAAGTGCTTTCAAAAAGACATCAGAAAGCTGCAGATCTTTAGCTTTCATTGTGAAGTTTAAGACTTTTATCACTTTATGGACCCTAATAAAGCTCGAATCCTAAATGAAAGAGGCAAAATGAGTTAAAAAAGAGAGAATTAAAAGTAATGAAAACATGGGGAATCCAGTCTTTAAATGCCATTTATTAATCATTCAGTTCATTCTTACCATAGTATGAAAACAATTTTAACTCGCTATTGTATGTTCTCATATACTGAATTGTAATTTTCATTTTACATTCTAGAACCTTTTCTAGAGATGTTCAAAGTGCCAAACAGAAGAGATTATCTCAGTAATTTAAACTGTGTGTCTGAGACATATGTTTGCTATCAAATGAAAGATAAATGATGAGAAAAGTCAGTCTTTCTTAATTTCCAGTCCTGGCTGCATCCCACTGAGTTTTTATTTATAATGACTTGCTAATGTAAATAATTGGAAGAAAACATTACATAAAGTTTCAAGTGGAAGTTGTGCAACTGAGATTGAATTTGTAGGTTTCCCATTAACTGGAAAAAGCACTTAATTCTTTAGACTTCAGTTGTCCAATGACAAGATGAGGGATGCACACCAAGTGACATTTCTTACACTCAATGCCAAATGGTACAACTCTAAATTATTTTGGAATTAAGTTAAATAAGATTATGCGTATGTATATTCTCTCCTCTATGCACATACAGAAATATGAGATTTTTGTTTTTCTGCAAACCCATTTGTTTGTTTTAACCTTTTTTGTCATGTTAGGTTAATTTAGGATTAGATGGCTGATACTATGTTTGCAATCTTATTCCATTGAGGTTTTTGAGTGCTCCTATATATACTGAATTTTAAAATTATATATTTTATTTATCTGTCAATTTTAACAAATTGTAGCATTTGAATAATAGTAGCAAAGGGAGGATCATATTTCAGCAAAAGAAATGTATTGTAACTGTTAATTGTTAAACAGCTATCTTTCTGTTTGCTATAATTGTGGTATAAAATGACCACTTATGCAAACAAAACAAAAAATAGCAAGGATCAAAAAGGGTCATCATTCACACTCCTTCTTCCTCTTTAGTTATCTCTTTCCCTCCCTCTTTCCTTCCCTCTTGCCTTCAATTCATTTATTGCTCAGCTCTCTTAGATGCTGTGGATATAGAAGTGTTTGTGCATTTGTGGAACTTACACTTTAGTACGTGCTCATTAACTGTACTTTTAACTATAACACTTGAGTGCTGTCAGAAACATAGCTTTCAAGAGTTGGTGGTCTTTCTGCTTTTAGTAAGAAGTGTATGTTCTCCCTGAGTATCTGAAATGCCTATTCTGGGAGGTTCAATAGTTCTATTTTTCTTTAAAAGCTAAATCATGGAAAAATATAAGTAAAACTTTGGTAATTCCACTTAGCACAGGCATAGTATTCTACTTTCTAGCATGAGAGGGCTGGAACTGCTATTTTAGACTAAGAAATTATGGTATAGTAAGTTACTAAACCATACATTACCTATTTCAGCAGTTTATGAGATCTTGCTGTATTTTTAATCATATTTTTGTGTTTTAAATTTTGTAAAGGAAATTATAAAAGCATTGAAACTTACAGAGTTGATTGGTATTTTGCTTTCAGCAGACTGTCTGCCCAAAAAATGTCTAGTTAGATCTGAGGGACAGTGTGGTAAAAGTAGGACAAAACAAATAAAGTATTCAGTTCAACTGAAGGGCTCAGATTAATTTTCTAGTATGTGATACCTTATTTTCACTACTTGAAGACTAGGAAAGGCTGCTGTAATAGTTTCTATTTAGACTGAGATTTTTTCATACTGTTCAGTTCTAACTGAAGACAACAGTCCTGATATTGGGTTTAACCATATGAAGCTGACAATTTTGTATGGCAAAAATGGTTGAATATCAGCAGTTTCATATGTTCCAACCTGTTACTGTAAATAACTCTAAATGTTTCTACCTTAGGACAGACTACTAGGGATTAAAGAACATAGAAGGGTTTTATACATGTAGGTATTTGGTGAATGTTTGTTGAATTGTTAATAAATATACAAATTTTAATTTATTCATTTGTAGAATAGTGCTAGAATATCTGCTCTGTGGAGGTCTTAGGGTTCTTTTGAGAATAAATGAATGAAATGCTTCAGAGAACTATGTATAAAGGGCTATACAGTATTAGTGTTATTATTATTTGGTGGTACTGAGGTTTTTGAAACCAAGACCTTGTATTTGCCAGGCAGGTGCCTTAAGTCAACCGCATTCCTAGCCTTAATATTTTGCTTTATTGTTCAGTAGGGTCTTACATTTTTGCCTGGGACTGGCATCCAACTGCTAGCCTACATCTGTGTCTCCCACATAGATGGAATTATAGGTGCATACCACCATGCCAAGATTGTTGGTTGAGATGTATTCTGACCAACTTTTTGTTCAAGCTGGTTTTGAACAACAATCCTCCCAATTTCTGCCTCTCAAGTAGCTGGGGTTACAAGGATGAGTCACCATACCTAAACTTCATTTTTATATAAGTACATAAATAGATGAATAAATAAAAATCTGAGGGACAGTGTGGTAAAAGTAGGAAGAACCATATGAGGATACCCCAGTACCAGTCCCATTGACTCCAGTGTTGGTGCCTCTGTCTCCTCTCACCTGTGCCCTCTCAGCTTCCATGATTCTGAGCTCATTCTCCCCATTCACCTCTTGGAAAAGGACAACTGCTATTTAGAGTGGTAGTTGTAGCAAAGAACAGATGCTATTTAAAAAAAAAAAAAAACCTTTGTATCCAAGCTACTCAGGAGGTAAGGATCGGGAGGATTGCAGTTTGAGACCAGCCTGGGGAAAATGTTAGCAAGACCCCATCTTAAGAAACAAAGCCAGACTTTGTGGCACAAATCTGCAATGCCAGCTATGTAGGAGGCTTAGGTAAGAGGACCACTGTCCAGGGCTGGCCCTGGGGAAATGTAATGTCCCATAAACTCTATTTAAAAATTAACTAAAGCTAAAAGGACTGAGGACTTGCTTACGTGGGCTAGTAAGTGTTAGGCCCTGAGTTGAAACTCAGTACCGCTAAAAAACTTCCCCAAAACACAACCCAAAAAACTCCAAAGAAAAACCTCTTTTGAAATGTCTGAAAACGCCTCATAATAATATGTATCCTAAGTCAATTAAGATTTGGAAGACATATTTAAGAAAATTACCATGTAAATGGGAGAAAAACAAATAGAATAATTAACAAAGATGTATCCTTACACATTGAAAGGGTTCAACAAGTTTCTGACAAGATAACTGGGGAAAAAAATACATAGACATAACCTAAATTTCAAGTGTAAAAAAACCATTGTAAATTTACCAACAGAGAAAAAATAAAAAAATCAGCTTTGTAACTGATTTTTCCTATGCAACAATGGGAACTAGAGGACAGTGGAACAACATCACTGACCACCAAAAGAGGAGGAAGGTGGTGCATCCCACTCTTCTGTATCTTTACTGCTCAGTGAAAAGGCAAGAATTCGAGATACGTGAGGAATTGTGTACTTTGGGAAAATTTTTCGATGTATCTTATCTGAGAAATGCACTAAACAATGACAACTGAGTGAGGACAGAGATGTCAAGAAAAAGAAAATGAGAAGAAAGGCAATGGTGATAAATACAAATGCATATATTAAATATAACACAAATATTAAATGTACACTATAAATGTAGAAATTATAGTATGTACAAAATCTTTCAATAGAGAAGATAAGAGTTAGAATAAAATACAAGCCAATGTTTAAAATATAAAAACAAATACATAATGATTTCTAGGAGTAGCTTGGAACACGAAGGCTTTTAACTGTTTCACTAGAACTATGGTGTTGGAGGCCTGTGAATAGGGAAGTAAATGTGTTCTCAAAAAACAAGCAGGACTGTCATGTGGGGAATAGTAAGCAAAACATCTTCTGGGTGAGTTGCAAATGTTATTTTATGTGATAAAAATACAGCTTTAATTATGTTCATGAGCTAGAGGAAAGCAAGCACACACAGAACTTAAAAGTATAGCAGAATATCCAAAATGTTCAATTGCAAGGGTGAAAAATGCAGCAAAACTAAGGGAATAAGAATATACACAGTGTGTTCAATCACAGGGAAGTAAGAAAAAAGAAGATAGTATATGATCAATTATTTCAGTGACTATCTAAGTGTAAGTTTCTAAATTTCCTTATCAAAGTCCTTATACTGTAAGATTACATAAAAAGACAAATTTCTGTTATTGTGGTTTATAAGAAACATAACTCCAACAACAGAAAATTGAAAATAAAAATCCACAATGAAAAACAAAGTCAAATTCAGAAAGAAAGCACCATTACACATTTTGCTTCTATAATTTTTAAAGTAGAATTTAATAAAAAGAAAATAAATCTTATTAAATATGTGTTAGAAATTCTACCAATATATCAAAACTGCTGCTTGATTGCTTCATTGGTGTTAATCATCAAATAAAGAATAAAAAGTTTGGGAATCATTTTTATTACCTTTTGGTGGGAGGCTTGAATCGCTTGTTTGAAGGCTGAGTTACGTGTGACACTTTCAGCTTTCTTTGATGAATAAAAAATTGGCACATGAAAAGAGCTCTTCTCTGCACCCAACAAAGAGGATTGTTGATCTTCATTCTTTCCAAGATCAATTAAATCCCTGTAGAAATCTGTTTCCAAATCATCTTCTTCAGTTTTTACCTGGAAAAAAATTCATGTGAAATAAAACATAACTCTGGGATATACCAGAGCTATTTGTGAGTATCTAATGTAATTATCATTCATTCATTTATATTACTTGGCAAATATGCATTGAAGACTCATATTGTTGGAGAATAAGGAATAATGTTAGTCCCTAAACTCAGGAAGCTAATAGTTTAGTCAGGGAGAGAGATAACCACAAACAATCTGATATGGTAAGTGTTGTGCTGCCAACGAGATTCCACAGATAAATATAAGACCCAGAGGGACAGTATCAAGAGAGTCTCCCTTCAAGAAATGAGGTCTATGAAGGACAGTAATATAAAACAGGTCAATCTAAGGGTATTGCATTAAATGAAGGGGAAAAGAGGGTGAACATTGTTGATGTATTTTCAAGTATGAATATGGAGCACTGAAACTTGTTGAAATCACCATAAGAAGGAGAATAGAGCTGAAAGGAGAATAATGGAGGGGATGAATTAATTTGGGGTATATAATACATATATATATGGAAATGTCACACCAAAACCCCTTGCATAACTATCATAAATTAACAAAAATGTTCCTTTTTTTAATAAGTGAAGAACAGGAAGGTAAAACAGATCTTGTCTGTGGGGGTACCAGTAGAAGGGGGAGGTTATAATGTACCTCCTTCATGGAAGGTGAAGACAGTGGAAGTATTTTGCATTCATATATGAAAATAGAATAATGAAGACTCTTGAAAATTGTTCTAAGAAGGGGAGAGGACAGGGGATAAAGAAGAATGATGGAGGGGGTGGAATCTAATTAAGGTATCTAGTAAGTACATATGTAAATGTCACAACATATCTCCTGTACAACTATAATATGCTAATAAAAAAGTTTAAAAAAAATGAGGCCTACGCTGAAACTTAGAGTTGAGAAGCAATGAAGACTATTTTTCAGACTTCTGATTTTAATGCAGTGTATGATCTAAATTAAAGAAATTTTCAGAAAACTAATGCCTAGAAAAAAGAGGGGAGGAGATTCTGTCTGTTGCTGCTTTACCTCCACAGCCACCCCTGTTGTTTTACTAAGACCTTGGATTTCAACCCTCTCCTGGCCATGTCTCTGAGATGGAGGACAAACAATGAATGGGCTCTTCCTGGTGGATGATTAATAGTCTTCTTCGACTTCATCTGGGAAGGTGAAAAAACAGCTGGTGGGACTCACATGAGCAGGATGGACAAAAGTTAAAAGTGGGGTAGGGACCAGTAGTAAAAAATTAAGTTATACATGGAAATGGGGGCCAGGTCTTGGATATCCTGCTAAAATAGTTGGATTTAATTCTAAAGGCAAGATTTCGCATATAACAAGTTCTTAAGAAATGTTAAGTGAATGAAATAAATATTCATAGTGTCTATCACATCTGTGTTTTGCAAAGTTCACGTTGGAAAGATACTTAGGAGGTAAATCAACAGAAGTTCTTGATCCAATACATACAGGGAAGAGGAGGAGGAAGAGATGGGGTAGAAGATGATGAAATGCTGCTCTGTATAGAGAATGCAGAAATCTAAGACAATTTCTGAAAGGAGGAAGATGAGTTCTCCTAGTGGTGTGCAAAGAACAGCAGGTGGGTGCTGATTAACCACATTTCCCCAGGAAGAGATGTTAACCAGAAGTAGGGGAGTGTTATTCTTTATTTTGCGTATCACAGTGGCTACTCCAGCTGAGCCTACCCTGACTATCTGTGTATCTGAGGGACTGATAAACTCCTTCAGTCAAAATATACATGTTGACACTTTACGTTTAAGAAAGAAGATGAGTTTGTAGGAAGAGGCAGAAAAGAATTGAGAAACATAAGGAATGGAGGATCTGGTATATTGCAGATTCCTTTAGTGTAAGGGTGAGATACAGAATCTGAAGTTGTGAATTTCATAATGCATTTAAGGCATTTAGAGAGGATTGTGAACGATTGCAGGGCTACTGAGATGCCTTAAAACTTTAAAAAGATGCAGCAAGAGGCGGTGTTGGATAGGTCAGCATATTGGAAAGACATTTGGTAACTGCACTCTGCAGTTGCTTGTGACAGCAAAAGCTGAGCAGCCAGTCAGCCAGTAGTGAAGTGATGGCACCAAGGGAAAGAGGGGGATTGCTGAGTAAGTGATATTACTCTGGGGACTGGTTCAGGTATCTGACAGTTACTAATCCCTGCATTCAGCAGTTGGGGAGTTTCTAAGGGGCATTATTCTAGTGTCATTGCTAATGTGGCCTCATTTGAAAGTCCTCACACAAAATGCAAAACATTGAGAATAAAGCACACACAAAAACACAGCAGGCACATTTATACTCAACATGTTGTTTGCAAGTATGGAGTAACAGCTAAGAATGTGATTGTTGACTTGATAGACTTCACATCCTTGCACAGGTCTCTTCATCTGACTCCCAGAAGATCCTCAACAGGACACAATTCAAATGCATTCTTATAATTGGAACCATAGTTGTGGTATCCAGGATTGTTCTTTTAAACCAACTCTCACCTTGTTTTCTTGCTTTAAGATTGTTTTATACTTTTTTAAGAGACCGGAGTCTGACCTGAGGGTCCCAGTTTCTATGATTTGGTCCCCATTGCATGCTACCAAAACCCCCAATGCAGTCTACCTCCTGACTGAGCCTTGTGTTATCAGTAATTAGATCTGTTTACACACTTAACTCAGTTCTCCTCTTGTTTGGGAGACATGGACCACTTGCATTTTCCTACTCCATTTAGCTAATGAAATGTGAGTTTAAGTGATATTGGTCAACTTTCAAAGTGAATAGAGTATATGTCACTCTCCTTTTTTTTTGTGTTTGGAAATTGATTATGGAAAGATGTGTCAAGAAGAGATCTCATAAGTCTCCGTGCTTCTGAAAGAGTATTTTGAGCAGAATTCATGCTAACTTCCACTGGATATGTCGAATGGATGACCTGTTTTAAGACCCTGACTTCTTGGAGTTGATATCATAGTATAACCTCATCTATTCTGATAGATAAAGTCCAGTTGCCTTTCCTTCCCTTTATTAGCTTCTGTAAATTTTATGTCCAAGCCAGCCCATTATTTCATCTGTCTAAATAAGCTCTAATGCTACTGAAGGGAAGTCAGACGCCTGCCAAATGCTTCTCCTCTATTATTTTCATTTCTCCTCCTCTATTGTTTTTAAGAATGCATAGCTTAGATTTATACAGGTACCTTCTCAAGGTATGAAGAAAGTAATATAGAGATCAGTAAAAAATAAGCCAGAGGTTGTGACTGTAGGGATGGTTATTTCCGTCATTAAAAGATATTATCATGATCTTCCTCATAAGTTCAATTAGCTTCTTAATGTTGGGCACCTTTCAGAGCTACACTGATGGTACAATGAGTCTATTTTGCCTTGAGTGAGGACTTTAAGGCTGTGTTTCCTACATAAGTTGCCAATAAGATGAATGTAAGCAATTTTCTACTTTTCTGGAGAGGTTGTTTTGGGAATCAAGTAAAACAATATATGGAAGTACTTTGAAACTAAAATATTACATAAAGTGTTATCTAACTCAAATTTCCCTCAGTCTCCTATGCTGCATTTAATTTGTTACTTGTAAAACTATATGAAATAGATTTTTGCTGAGATAATAAGCAGTATGACTTTCATTGGGAATTGCAATATTTTGAAAGTAAGTACATGGGTTGCTTGTTTAGGAGCAAGAAAAAAATCTTCCAGCAAAAACTATGTATAAATATTTAGGGATTACTTCTGTGCAAAGCCTATTCAATACTGAATATTTTAAGTCTGAGGCACTGAGGATGGATAATATGCTGTTCATTGCTACTTAGGAGAACAAACAAAAACAACCAAACTAATTAATAAATTAGGGAGGAAAGTTAGACCTGTATGTTTATGAAGAAAATTAGTTACCTTGTTTTTTTTTTAGTATGTAAATCAATGAAAATAACCCTGTCCTCCCTGGGTTATGGGAAGATTAAATGCAAGCACATAATAGGTGATTAAAATTGTTCATTATCTGTTACTTTGTGCCTTAATTATCATTAAATTGTTCATTATCTGTTACTTTGTTTCTTCATTATCATTAAATTTCTTCACTAGAAATTTAGCTTATCATCACTTGGTGCTGAAGCTACCACCATGACAGACTGTCATACCTCGAAGCTGACATTTTCGAGATTGGCTGGAACACGGTATGGATTACTTGCTCTACTGCTCTTGACAGTTTTACATATTCCTCCATTGAAAGAGTTATCAAGGACTTCTCCTCTGGGCTCTCCTGCCAGAAAATGAAACCTAGGAATAAAGCAATTTTCAAAAATTCAATAGATGTCGTGCAATCAAAATTTATCTTACCTATATGAAAGAAACTCCTTTTCGTAGACATTTTTGACTCATGACAAATGACTTGAAAAAAAGTCAAAGTTTTGGAAGCCAAAATTCTGCCCCATTAACTTGCTAAGTTTCTTCTAATCCACTCAATTTTTCTGATCTTTCAATATGAAATAAAATTTGGGTTTATAGTTTTTTTGTGATTTACAAAACCAGTGCTAACTGTGGAAGCAGATTGTGAAATATATTATTGTATAGTAAGTGCCACTCTGGCTCATTCCCTTCACTATGACACACGAAGGTAATACTGATAGAAGCTTAGTTATGAAATAGTAATATGGATATTTTAATGGAATTGTAATAGTATAATTGTTTTTATTAATGTCTAATTTTAATATTTAAGGTATATTTTACTTAGAAATTGCTTATATACCATTTATTACAGACCACACAATAGTAAGCACTTCACAAGTATTACCTTGGAGTATTTTATAAATATTAACTTATTCAACACATACAATAACCATATTACATAGATATAATTTTATATCCCTTTACAAATGAGGAAACTGAGGCATATAGAGATTAATCACAAAAAACGGTTTTAAGAAGTTATTTTGTGACAGGTGAAAAAATCTCTAAGATGCAAATACTATTCTAGATTCTTAGATAATATAATATGTACTCAGTGAAAGAAAATTGCTTTTTGTCAAAAAGTTTGGTATCACTATATTATATAGATGATAAAAATTGTCTCAGTGTCAAACTAGAGCCTTTAAAAGTACAGTCAGTCTCCACATACATTTTATCTGACAGTCTTGTTTTCCATACCCATAACACACAGTTCTAGAGAACACTGTTGGGAGAGTCCATGTGGTGGAAGCAAGAGCATTCCATTCCGCTTCCCTCTAGATCCACAAATACACTCATCAGTTCTGATAGTGGACGAGTACCCAAAGGACTCCACACACCCTCAAGAAGACCATGTACCACCTATATGTTTGTTTCTCTTAACCTCTATACCACTATAACTCAAAAGACAAATGTACCTAAAAGGTTTTATCCTTTTATGATGCAGAGGTTGCATCATTAATTTCCATAACTATTACTGTGATTTGAGAGAAGACAAATTGACTGATTTGTTTGGGAGGACATCAAGAAATTGTTCACTATTTGAAACTTTTGTGATTTGCTATTAGGTGTTTGGATTTAAAGCAGAAAATTCAATCAGTTATTGAGGCACATATTCTAACCAACTGACATAACATGCTTCTATCAAAAAGAGCAAGGATAATTAAAAAGTTGTAAAATAATTTTAGAACATTAAAATATAAACACTTTCAAATTCTCTACCCATATAATTATACTAATGTAAACACATACACAGTTTTTCAGCTTCCGAAATTATTCCTCACTTGAAAAATGGAAATAATAAATGCTTACATGTTAGCTGTGGGAATTAATAATTGTTAGCATAGGCCTAGTCTGCCATATATGATGAAATAATGCATATTTGTCTTTCCTATTTGGAGAAATTGTACCTTAATTTCATTAAATGAGTTGCATATTAATTATGAGAGTGATTGCTTGTAGTATTCAAGATCAATAGAAAAAACCAACTGTATTTCAAATGCTAATCAAAACCACAATGACATAACATGTCACCTAAGTTAAAATGGTTATTATAAAAAAGACAAACAATGAGAAATGCTAGCAAAGATACAGGGAAAGAGGAAATTTCATCCACTCTTTGTGGGAATGTAAATTAGTACGGCCATTACAGGAAATATTATGGAGGTTCCTGAAAAAGCTAGAAGTATCATAACCTGACACAGAAATTCCACTCTTCAGTATAAATCCAAAGGATTTGAATCAATATATCAAAGAGTCATCTAAATTAACTTGCTCATTGCAGCACTATTCACAATAGCCATGATACAGAGTCACCTTAGGTGTCCATTGGCAGATGAATGGGTAAAGAAAATATACTACATACAAAAGGGCATATCTACACAATGAAATATTATTAAGTTACAAAAAAGAATGAAATCTGTCATTCACAGAAACTTTGAATGTTCTACAGAACAGTAGGATAACTAAGGTTAGCAACAATTAATTGACTATTTCAAAATAGCCAGTAGGAGAAGTTTGAGTGCTCCCAACACAAAGAAGTGATATATGCTTGAGATGATAGATATGTCAATTACCCTGACCTGATAACTACACACTGTATACTTGTGTTGAAATGCTACATGGTACCCCATAAACAGTCACAATCCTATGAGCCAATTAAAAATAGAGTAAATATTTATTGAACATTAAAAGTGTATTTATATATCCCAAAATAAAATTAAGAAAAAATCCCACTTGCAATAGCATCTAAAAGAAATAAAATCCTCAGAAATATATTTTTAAAAAGAATTCTAAAATTTACATACTTAAAAGTACAAAAACTGTTGAAAGATATTAAATAAAATCTCAACAAATAGAAAGCCATCCCATGATCATGAATTTGAAGAGTTTATAGTCTAGGATGACAGTAATTTCCAAATTGTTCTATAGAATCAAAACAATCCTGATCAAAATCACTATGATTTGAATATGAAGTGTCCCCCCAAATGGCTCCTGTTTTGAACGTTTGAGCCCACCTGGTGGTACTGTTTTAGGAAAAGTTTCTGAAAATATTAGGAGATCGTCCCTCAATGAAGGAAGAAGGCCACCGAGAGCATGCCTTTGTGGGTGTACATTTTTCAAGGGCCTTTCTCTCTCACTTTCTCTGCTTCCTGTCTAACATGAGGTGAATAGCCTTTGCCATATGCTCTTACCACCATGATGGTTTGTTTTATTACAGACTCAACCAACACATTCAAGGACTATGGTCTGAAACTTCTGAAAACTTGAGCCAAAATAAATTGTTCTTCCCTTAAGTTATTTCTGTCAGGTATTTTGTCACAGAGACAAAAAGTCTGACTAATACAAAATTCAATCTGCCCTTTTTATAAGCATGGGCAAGCTGATCCTAAAAGTCATCTGAAAGTACCGGAGTCCCAGAATAGCCAAAGCAATCTTGAGAAAGGGCAAAGTTGAAAGAATCACACTTCCTGACATAAAGCTTATTTTAAAACCAGAGTAATCAAAACAGTGTGGTACCTGCATAAACAGAAACTATAAATAAATAGGATAGAATTAAGAGGCCAGAAATAATCTTAAACATCTGTTGTCAACTGATTTTTGATAAGGGTGCCAAGGCAATTTGATGGGTGGAAACAGCCTTTTTTTTACAAATGGTTCTGGCACAATTGATAGTTTTATGTAAGTGAATGAAGTTGGAATCCTTTCTCACATGACAAAAAAAATTAGTTCAAAATGGATCACAGACCAAAATTTAAGAGCTAAAACTATAGAATTTTCAGAAGAAAACATCAGACAAAATCTTCTTTATCTTAGATTAGGCAAAGCCTTCTTAGATATGATACCAAAAGCATATGAAACAAAATAAAAAATAAATGTATTCAACTTTATCAAAATTAAAAATTTTTATACTTTGAATGATTCCATTAAAAAAGTGAAAAGACAACTCATATAATGGGAAAAATAGTTACAAATCAATCATACATCTGATGAGGAACTTATATCCAGAATATACAAAGAACTCTTAGAATTCAATGGTAAACAAATTACTCAATTAAAAGCAGGGGAGGGATCTGAATATTTGAATAGCTATATCTTCAAAATAGATATGTAAAAGACTAACGAGCATGTGGAAAATGGTCATTATTAGTCATTCAAGAAATACAAATCAAAACTATAATAAGATATCATTTGACGCCTACTAGGATAGCTTTAATCAAGAAGACAAAAGTAAATGTTGGTCAAGAGGAGAAATTGACTTTCTTTTGCTTTGCTTTGCTTTTCTTTTCCCTCCCTCCCTCCCTCCCTCTCTCCCTCCCTCTCTCCCTCCCTCCCTCTCTATCTTTCTCCCTCCTTCTCTTTTTCTTTCTTTTCCTTTCATTCTTTCTCTCTCTTTCCTTCTCTCTCTCTCTTTCTTTCAACAGGGCTTTACTGTGTAACCTAGACTGCTCTGCAACTTACAATCTTCAGCTGCAGCCTCCTGGGTGCCAGGATTACAGGTGTGAATCATCACTCACAGCTACTTGTAAGCTTTAAAAGACTGAATTGTGTGGTTTGTGAATTATATCTCATTAAAGCTTGTTTTAAAAAGATTCATAGCATACTCAAACAGCTACATGCACAATTTGAGATTTGTTTCCATTCATTGGATTTTTTAAGGAGGAAATATGAGAACTACTCTGGGATGAACTTTTTATTTATGTTAACATGACAAAGACAAGTGTTTTGAGACTCATTCATTTGTATTTTATAAGTTAAGAGGAATGGATGAGGATAAAAATCTTATACTGTCTTATACTATGTACTTATGTTTATCACAAACAAGAAGGGTTCAAGAAAAATGGTTGGAATCTATGAAAGGTAGCAGCTGCTTGCAGAGCATTAAAGATGGGATTTTTATGTAGGTGGCTCCATCAGCCACACCTGCAGAATCTTTTGGGAAGTAAGACAACTATGCAGTAATTTTTAGCCCTAATTTTTCTTCTTTCCTCTGAGATGCTTAGATTGACTTAAGTGTTTTCATGTTTCAAATACATACTGACATTTAATACTTCAACTTTTTAAAGTTCTTTTATCTCATTTGCTTTATTTTGAATTTTTTTTTCTTTTTTCTTTTTTGCTTTCTGTGCTCTGCTACTAATTAAAAAGCATAAAATTAAAAGATATGTATACATATATATATGAATATGTGTGTATATTGCTGTGTACTTTGGCTAATCCTGATAAAAAACCAAACAGCATGCTTTTAATGTCTTATTATTGCTTCAGATATAGGAGCTGTTAACAACAGAGGAATTTTGGTATGCCTTATTAAAATTTTTTCTTGGAGAAATGCCATTTATAAAAAGGGAAAGCCACCTAGGAAGCCATATTTTAAGTGTAAAAATGTGTTGGGAGGCAGAATGGGGAGGGCAAAGATTCTAAGGCCAGCAGATTAAAAACAAATTATAGTTTGCAACTCTCAAAACAGTCCCTGGGGAGGCAAGGAGAAGATTGGATGTCCCTGAGCCAGCAGCTTTTGCTCATTTCTGAGAATCTTTGGGACAACAGCAGTGTTGGCAGAAGGCCACACAGTCCTCCTGCCAAAGTACACATAGCATGTGGTCTTCCCCTTTTGTAAATATAGAGTCTAGACAAACAGAACAAAAGGTAAGTTTATAATGTCACCCTTCATCAATCAGAACATTAAAAAAATGTAATTATCAGGGGGATTCTTGGCAGTTTTCTTCCAGGAAAAGGAAAAAAATAACATGCTCAAGTACTCTTGTTGAAGTCAGCAATAATTAGACACTTTTAGGACAGAACCTCAGATCAATTTATAGTCAAGCAACATGCAGATGTGGAAACTGAGGCCGAGGGGATGTTAACTTGGCTATGTTGCAGTGAGTTAATGCAGAACGAGGTCTGGAACCCATCTCCTCTTACTTTCTATTTCACAGGTGCCTTTAAGTTTGGTTCAGTGGCTTCTGGTTTTTATTCTAAAGCAAAGAGGTCATATTTGCAATTGTGGCTGTTTTTTGCCTTTCAGGCATCAAGATTTCATATTATGCAACTCTGGCAGCATAAATGAATACTTAAAATTTTAAAATTTTCAATATGAAGCAGTAGAAACTGATAGTAAACTCTCTGCCTCTGGCCAAAAAATTGAAGGGTGGCTCTTTATCATGGAAATGAAAAGTACAACAGACTATTTTTACTGATTTTCCTTTTGCTTCAAACTAAGCTTTCGTTTCTTGTTTCTTACTTCTCTTATGTTTATTAAACTATTCCAAGACGCTGGCCTAGCCTAGTGAATTGAAAACCTCTTACTAAGTTCCTAATGCCCTCTTGACTGAATATGTCTGAAATAGAAAGATTGAAATTTCTGAGCACCAGTCAAATAGAGGGCTGCATGGTCTCTTGAGGCTTCTTCCAGTTTTTTCCTATCTCTTAAGAGGATAGTGCATGGGATCAGCATGATGTGATGGAAGTAACCTAGATTTTGAAGTCCAGATATGAATCCCATTTTTACCATTACTACGTGGTAGACTTGGATAGCTTATTTAAATTTTCTGAGGTTCATTTTCTCAGGTAAGATGAGATAGTAATGTAAGTCTGACTTTCTGCTTTTAAACTAAGTGGACTTACTCACACATCATATGGGAAGGCATCCCTAACCTTTTCACTTTTCCCTTACTACCCTTACTTTTTCACATCAGTGTCTGTAATCATTGTCTATTTTCTATTTGCCTAACTTCTTTCTTTCTGATTTTCTCTCCCATTATTGACTCTGAGCTTCCTTCCTATACCACAAAACTGGTTATGCTTTTCTGGGGTTTGACTTTCAACACATCCATAGGCATACCTTTCTGATACTCTCTTTTTCAATTTGTTCCTGGCATGTCTGACTAGTTACTTACCCATTCAAAACCTAGCCCCAGGAACCCAGGCTGGCCCCTCCTAATGTGGTGTGCCTTGCTCTAATCTGCCCTGATCCATTCCAGAACTTCCAGAGGGATGTATGAGAAATGTTTATGAAGGGCCCATCACATGACTGTAGAAATAAATGCTAAATGCTTTTTTCCTAGGAGGGAGGATCATGGCCATGATGAGTAAATATGAGAGACAGGGCAGTGGGGATAGTACGAAGGTCTAAGGAGGTGAGACAATGATGTGCTGCTGTTTCTAACTCATTAGTTCTGAAAGACCTTTTCTCCTCCAAGTGATAAAAAGATGCTACATACCCAGTGCCCATAGAGTGTACACTAGGTATGGGAGTCCGCTGCCCTGGGCACACCACCTTTGTTCTCCCACAATTCCTTTCATCTGAGTTATCTCCACAGTCATTTTCTCCATTGCATTTTAACTTGCTGGGAATGCAGCGCCCTGGTCAAAAAATTACACAACAATATTGCAACACATTATCATTAAGGAAGGGCTTTATTAAGTTAAAACACATATGCTTGAAATTTTAAGGGGAAGTTGAGAAGAGTTTTCATTATTTTTTTGTGAAGGTGAGAAATGTATGGAAGTGGAGTGATAACGATATTTTTCTTTAGTTTTCAAGATTGTAAGAGTCACCTTAGAATTATTTAGTTAATATTTGGCTGATTGCCTTTAAAGAGAGAATTAATTCTATTAATTAATATATTCTATTAATTGATATATTCTATTAATAATATGATTAATATAATCACATTATAGTGAGCTTGTTGTAGAGATAATGTTCTGCAGAAAAAAATTAACAGTAGATTCAGAATTTTTTTTATTCAGATGGCAAAGTCTGGCTTATTGTTTTTATTGAAAAAACTATAATTTTACACATATGCACTCTACTGTTACAAGCAATAACATGCTGAATCCCTAAAATTTTATGTTGAGTGAAAAAAGCCAGACATGCAAGAGTCACGCCGTGGGATTCCTTTATAGTGTGTTCAAGCATAAGAATAAGGCAGGAAGTTATATGGAAAGGAAAACAAGGAAATAATTTGTGTTTATGAAAATTTTCTGTATCTTCATTGGTGGTTGTTTACGTTGTTAGATATACATTTGTGAATATCAAATTGCACACTTAGGATCTGCACATTTTGCTTTAAAATTATTATTATTATATTGTCACACTGGGGTTTTAACTGAGGGCTTCATGCCTGCTAAGGAGGTACTCTACTTACAGCCTGTGGAGCTGTGCGTTTTGCATACATAATTATTTAACTGTGATATAACTACCATTAATTTTATTAAATATATTTTCCATATATTTTCCTACATATAATTACTGTCCATAATTGTTTTACTACAAATAATTTGTAATATCTGATTATATTTTGGATAAGTTAGGTGCTGAGGCAGCATGTTAAGTAAATGAATTTGGAAAATTATACAGACTCCATGGACTCAAATAAGTCCTCCTAGTTTTTGTCTTGCTGAATTTGCTAAGGACTCCTAGAATCAGTGTGTAATCTATATTGTAGAAATTGAAATGCATTGGATACAAGACAGATATTCCTTCTTCTGTGGCCCAGTCTCTTGCTTGTGTTCAGGGATGTTGGCATCTGTGCTGTTATGTGTATGTCTCACTGACAAAAATTAAATGACTTACTTAAGATCATCTGGTCCACTAGGTTAAGTTGTGATCAGCATCTCATTATAGCCATGTATTTCTCTTTTGACTAAAATGCCTGGGGGAAATTGGTATTCTGCTGAATTAAATTTTTTTTATTAATACAATGCTCCCCCAAATACTTATTTCAAGTCTTTTGATTATAACTTTCACTTAGAATATAACACTTAGAGTGTAATGAAAATGATTGTCTTCCTTTGATTATTCAAGATTTTTCATTATGTCCAGATCATTATTGTAATTATACCTATGAGCACTAACATCACATAAGAGTGATAAGATGAAATTGAATTTCTTTCAATCTCAAGATATAAACTGAAGATGCTGTGCTGTTTTTTTTAAACAATATATCTTTTAAAAGACAGAGAGAATGAGTAATTTCATTTGAAATAGAGAATATTTTCATTTGACATATTGCATTTAAAAAAGTTCTAAACCTGGTACTTAAATTTTAAGAAAAATACTAGTTTCATTTTAGAAGCTAAATGAAATTTTTAGTTTCATTTTAGAACAACCTGTTTTATTAGCTAGAGGTAGGGATAGTCATTCAGGGTACCATTCTTGTTAGCCAAACACGTGAGCAGGTTATCAGATATGTGAGAATATAAACAGTTCCATCCATCTGGTGCTTGTAGACATTGGGAGGAGCTTATTCTCAATCACAGGGGTGAAAAAAGAGGACATTTCTTGAGTGATGTTTAGGAATAGGTGATAGGAGTGACATAGCCTGAGGAGACATGACTGAGAAAGACTATAAGCCATAGAAACACAACAGATAGGCTACTGCAAGTCATAAGTATATCCTATATGAAAGAAGAGGGGAAATGATGAAGGGCAGGGTGAATACTGCAGGATTTGTAGAGGTATATAGCATGTGCATAAGCAGTAGTTCACCTTATCTGCGAGGGACAGTTTCAGAGACCCCCCAAGAGATGGTTGAAACTTCTTATAACACCAAAACCTTTACCTTAATGGTTTTCTGGCTTAATGAAGTGCCTGTCACACTGTGGTCATAACTTTGCAGTTTAAGTTGAGATAGCAAAACTAGCATAGACTTAGTTTTACCGCTTCATAATTTTGTGGAAAAATATTCCTTCTTATGCTAGATCTTAGTGATCTCAGCACAGTATTTTTAAAATTTCCTTAAGTCAAGAACTTCCACATTTTTGTTTAAAGAAAACATATTATGGCTTCTCTTTAACTTATGAAAGTTGCTTCATGACTGCTGTTGTGCTTTGGGGCCATTAGCAAGTAAACTAAATACTTGTACACATAAGCACTGTCATCACATACAGTTCACCTGCAACTGAGACTGTCTAGCAGGTAGTGTATGTAGTGTGGATACGCTAGACAAAGGGATGATTCATGCCCTGAGTAGGGCAGTGTGGGATGACATGAGATTTTACTGCTAGGCTCTGACATACAATCTAAAACTTATATTTTTTCTGAAATTTTTCATTTAATATTTTTAAACTGTGGTTGACCATGAGTAACTGAAACCATGGAATTGAAACTGTAGCTAAGGGGAGGATTACTATGTATACTAATGCTTGCTGCTATGCCATTATTTAGAAATTGTGCATGTCTTTCCTGTCTACTTTAACTGACTTGTGTTACTATATTAACATATTGTTTTTATAGCCACTTACAAATTCTCTAGTCTTCTATACTGAAAGTTAGGACTTCAAAAGATAAGTTGGCAGAGTGCAATAGAATTAGTCTCACAGGTAATTCTCAAAAATCCATGTATACATTAAAATAATATATTTAGTTTGGGGAACTCTTGAGAAACTCTGAATAGCAATCATGAAGGAGGAAATAAAAGAAGGTGAGTCTATTTAGCACAGATTATTAGTTCTAATTCTACAAATGAGGGCTAAATATCATCCTGAGTCAGGCAAATCAATTGTCCATTCAACCTCTCATTCTCATTCACCATGGCATTAGTGGATGTTTTTCAGAAAGTACAAGCATATCATCTTCAAAGGAATATTTAACAACCAGAAGTCTATGGAATCACCCTATCAAACAGGAATCCAAACAATCTGGGCCAGGGATTTTTCAGTCAGTGACTGGATTACGGGAACATCTAGGGGTTTGGGTGAAGTGGCCTGGGGAGCAGGGAGCTTTTGGGTCACATCTGCTTAGAAACCATTACAGACTCATTGTTATAATTCAGTTTTTTTATCTATGGCTATGGACATATTGCTGATGAATTGAAAATCAGCTATGCTTGCACTGCTAACTTTTCTGAAATCACTCATTATGTATTGACAACCCACGGATGAATCCAAAACTTGTGAATATTTTTGACCTCTACAGTTAGAAGTCAAAAGTAATTAGAGGTCTTTTGTAATTAATTTCATAGGTTTATCATTTACTGAATCAAGGAGTTGTAGAAAACATCATTCAACCTTCAAAAAGTTGCACTTCTGTTTTAAATCTTGATTTTAATCTTCTTTTTTTTTGCAATACTGGAGTTCGAACTCAGGGCCTACATCTTGAGCCACTTTTCTAGCCTCCCTTTTTGTGATGGCTTTTTTTCAAGATAGGGTCTCATGAACTGTTTGCCTGAGCTGGCTTTGAACTGTGATCCTCCTGATCTCTGCTTCCTGAGTAGTTAGGATTACAAGCCTGAGATACTAGTGCCTGGCTGATTTTATTATTCTGAATGTAATGCTGTATCATCCTGAGCCAGTGTTGTCAAGATTTTATTCATATTTCTCTTTAGTCAATTTGTAATATGACCTTACTCATATAGGAACAATGCATATCTTCTTCCACAAATCCCATCCTCCTTTCCCAGGGCTGGTGCAGCATAGAGGGAAAAACCCCCAACACCAGCATTCCTATCTGATGTTCAGAAAATGTAAAAATGAATGCAAGAGTCAGAGTATAAAAGGGGAAAAAACTTTGGTTCTAACATCTTGGGTCAGTTTCCTATGACATTTGAAATTTGCTAATGTAATACTTTTCAAAATACCTCAGAGTACACAAAAATGATGTGGAGTTTGTCTGAAGTTTAATTTTATTATAACATCTGTTGGACTATTTAGATAGGAAGTTAGTGAACTATGGCTCATGTTCCAAAATTGACTTGTGCCTGGTTTTTGCAAATAAAATTTTATTGAAACACACCATGCTTGTTTGTTTATACACTATCTATGGCAACTTTGGTACCATAATGCTAGATTTGAGTAGTAGTGAGACAGACTACTACATCTTACAAAAGCTAAATATTTGTCATCTGGACCTTGACTAAAAATTTACAGAACTCAGATCTAGGCTTTTAAAAAGGTGAGTATTAAAGATCTGTCAACTAATAAGAAGGTACATATGATTAATATATTCAATATTTGATTATGTTCTAATGAAACCTAAATACCAGGTTTTAACATTTGAGTAAATATTGGTCTTGAAGGTATTACCAGCATTTTAGATCTTGTCTTTTGGAATTACCTTTGGAGCCAATAAAGAAAATTTGCTTCATAATTTCTAGTCATTTCCCTGACATAATATCTCAATATTCTTAATAAACTTCTCTTAATAAACTACATTGAAAATCTTTTAAATCAATACATTTTTAATTAGTCTCATTATAAACTTGTGCTTATTTATAGACAATTTCAAAAAAATATTTGCCAACATATTTTCTTCTTCCTCTTGTCTCTTCCTACTTTATAACAATGTGGGGATCTGAGCACCATTCTTTGATGAGCAAATGAATTAGGTAAGTGGTCAAGATGGCTATATCTCGAAAGCTGTAATTTCACACATGAATTCTTTAGTAATTTATACTGTAGCAGTTCTATTCCCCATGCTAAGAAGGGCTGGAACTTCTCTATCCTAGATTTTATTGCACACAATTAGAATAGCTTGATTTAGTCAAGTAACTTTTAGTGGAGACTGAACATTTTTCAAAAGCACATTACCACTGTCACAGTGGAATTTATTCTTGCAATCAGCCTCTTCAATTTTGCAGAGCTTAGATGGAATGCATGGTTGAAAGGTCACCAGGGGCTCAGTACATGGTTGTCCTCCAAATTGACTAGGGCGCAAGACAGATCTAACCTTAGACTGAAAGGAAAGAAGAGAAAGATGAGTAACTCCAAGGTAAGGTCTAAGAAAACTGTACTTCCCAGTCACAGTGGTGATTGTCCAATGGTGGTGTCTCCTAATCTGTACTGAAATTTCTTTCAATTTCATTACTGTGTATATTTAGGAAAGCCACACCTTCCTGGACCTCAGTTTCCCAAGCTGCAAAATAAGGAAGTGAAGCAAAAAGATTTCTAAGGCCTCTTTTCTAATTCTTGAAATCATATGGTTTTGAATTCTATCAACATCAAATCCACAAATGTTTATGGAGAGTTTTGTGAGTGCAATAAATTCTTCTGGGCAATAACACTAGCCCTTCTATATCTCAAAGACAGTGTGAAGTTGGAGAATGTAAAAGATTTCAAGTTTCTTTTGCATAAGGATGTCACCATGGAAACCAAGGTTGACATATTCTCTACATTTGGAAAGATTTTGGTAAGTAGTAAAATGGAGAGTCGTGGAAGGATAGAAGTATGACATGACTAACACATACTGACTTTGAAGTCAGAAAAATTCAGTTCAAAATGTAACTGCTATATGAATTAGTGGTATATTCTTGGGGAAATTATTTACCCCAAATAAGCTGTTACTTCCTCATCTATTAATTGTGTAAAAGAGCACAATATGATGTGAATTTTCAGTGAAATGAAGTATGTAAGAGGCCAACAACAGTCCCCCTCAGAGTGTGGGTGTTTTACAAATGAGTTTCATTTTCTTCTCTAATGCGTGCATCCTTAGAAGACACCACCCTGACTGGGGTTCACATGGGTCAGTGCCCTTACAGGAATGAGCATGAGGTAGGTAAATATTGCAGCTGGGAACAACAAACAAATTAAGGCACTTTCCCATGGAGAGAGGGAATTCAGAGGAAGGGCAAGGAGTCATGTTTTTGATTTATTTCCCTCATTTCTGTTTAGTTTTAAACATTGGACTGAAATCTCCAGTTTTTAGTACTTGTTTTTGCTTTCAGAATTCTGGGAAGGCACAGGCAGCTGAATTTAGATATGGATAAGGATAATACTGATATTGGAGGAAGAATTTTCTTTTTGTGTTCATATGACAGTAAAGCATGTAAAATGAATCTTCTTCCCCACAAAACATTGTTAAATGAAATTTTCCCTTAGTGACAACTGGGACAGTTTATTTTCAGAAATTAAAGAAATTAATCATTTCTGTGTTGTTGGACTGGCACTGTCAGGGAATCAGAGACTTAATAGTGATTCAGGTATCCTGGTGTGAGCCACCAGCACCCAGCTTACCTACCTGTTTTTTAACACAGGGGTCACAGTCAGACCATGGCCCGTAGTCTCCTAGGAGGCAGTTGATGGGACATGTCTGCCAGTTGCACTCTCTGGTCTCTTGCTTGGTGCAAAGTTGGTCACATGAGTTATCCCAATAGTAATTATCCATGACTATTTGTCTATAATAGGAAAAATGTAGCTTAGAAGAAATGTATTCACTGTGGCTCCAACCCTCTCAATAAATATCATAAAATATTAACTACAGAGAATAAAGAAAAGAATATTTTCATGGAAAAGTTCGACATGTTGTCATATATACAATCTATACAACTTAATGGAACTCAGGACCAACAACATATGGGGTCTAGGCCAAAATAAACATGGGATTCCAAAATGAAGACTTAAAAGCCAGCAACAGCAGATTGCTAAACTAAGCCTGCAGTCGTGCTAGGTGAAAATTTTCCCTGATGGTGCTCCTGAATGGATCAGAAGAAAAAGGGAAATTCCTGTAAATTGCTTAAAAGATGAAAGCATAATTTATAAGTACTATGACTACATTGTGTTAGGATGATGGGACGTCAAAGATTCAAAGGCAAAGTGACAGGGAAGAGATGTTCTGAGAATTTCATGTGGATTTCCTAGGTAAATAGGGAAGGGCATTCAAGGGGAATGACAAAAATTGTAGGTAGAAGAGGACATGAGCTGCCCAGGGAGGAGCTTGTGTGACTTGACTGGCCAGGGAGTGCATGGTTGAATCTGTTTTGTTTTATTTGTTGCACGGTACAGAGCTACTGAGGGACTCTTGAGTAGACGAGTGTTATAAATAAATCTGTTTTCACACTTAGTGAATAGTTTATTGGAATTCAATTGGTAATTTTAATGAGTTTCACACTACACATGTAAAAATAGTTTTCTAAAATAAATCTCTTGAAAAAGCTAAAATAATCAAAACACAGTAACTATATGCATTTCTTCCTCAAGTTATGTGAGCACCTCCATGGTACATAAAAAATCTAACAGACAGAAAGTGCAGGAGATGAGTGGTCTGAACTGGTGAAAAGACTGACTTAATAAATGCTATCAAGTAAACATGCTTTTCTTGTCATCTTGGATATACCAACAATCAAGCTAATAGCTAGCAGTCCTGCTCAATTGGAGATCCTGTTAGACTTCATTTAATGAGTAGAAAATTGTCTATAATTTGCTCACTAACTGTGGGCAAGAAGTTCTATGCTGATTGAAAAGAAGCTTGAGTAGTGATTCTAAGTAAGTCAGTCAACTGAAAACATTGCAAAGATTCTTAATTCAGTTTCTTTGAAACTCTGTTTTCATAGAGACAACAAAAGTAGACTTCAACATTATGTGGAAAAGATCTTAAATTTCATACAAATTCTTACAAGTTCTTATTTGAGATATAGTTTTCCCTATTACTTCTGATATTGCTAACTCTATTATTGAGATTTTCCAGGACACAAAGAAAAGCTACATAGCTCATACCTACCTCTGTCTGTTCTGAGTTCCAGAATTGCATGTTTTTGAGCAGCTGGACCACTGAGTCCATGGGAAGTGATCACAGAAACAAGGTTGGCCCTTGTTGATCAGAGTACTCAGCAGAATGAAATATAAGATTGGTTGTCCAGGCATGCCTGAGGGCCTCCAGGTCCTAAGACGGAATGACGATATGTATCTGATGCTTCTTTGAGACAAAACTTTACAAGTCATTATGAGTCAGACTCAAATATGATTTAGGAAACATCCGCATCTCTGTACCTTTCTTAAGACAAACTAACACATAAATTCATATGCTCATGCACATATGTCTGAGTTTAAAAGTTTTTTTTTAGGGTGGAGATTACCATGTAATAGCTCCTAGTTTAGTATACTAACTTTCTATGAACGGTAGTAGTAGGAACAAGATAAAGTTTATAGTATGTGTTTGCAAGTCATTTCATTCTGCAAAATATTGAGATTTATATAATCATATACTTCTCACAACTACTCATTTTGTGTGGGCAGTTACCTTAAGCATATTCCAGTTTTTCATCCTTTTCTGGTCCTAGGGAAGGATTTTGGGCTATTCTTTCAATCCCCTGACATCCCAGCAACCTGCTAAAGAGAGAATTTACTGTCCTACTCCTCCATACACAGAGTCATAGAGTTAGAACTGGAATGGCTCTTTGAAATCTCCAGTTCAAACTCCTTCATGTTATGTTAATAGAAATGAGGCTTGAGGAGATGCAATGGCATTCAGGCTGCATGACAACAGCAGGTTCTTGAGATGAAGTTCATCCCTTTGCTGAGTTTCTAATAACACTAATTATTGTGTTACTGAAGCATAAGGGTGCCAGGCCACAGGGGGTTTTGTCTAGATAATGCCAGCAAAAACATTGACCAGTCTTCCCACTTGTGAGCATCCATGAATCATTTGTAAAATCACCACTTACCTACCACTAGTACTGACAATTTGACCTTTATATCTCTAAAAAAACCTGCAGCACAGTCATATATATATTCATAAATACAGGATTCCTATCATGAAATTGCAACTTATAAGTTTATATATATATTTATATATGTATATATATGTACACACAATGCTGCTGCAATTAATATACTAACTTTCATTTAAAAAATCCCATTCACTTCTCTTCTTCAGTTTCATTATTTATAAAATTATTATAATAGTTACCTACATCATTATGCTTTTGCTAGGATTCAGTAAAAAAGTTGATGCAAAATGCTTAGAATAATCCTTAGCATAGAATCATCACTTGATAAATACAAGCTTTTCATTGAATAACTTTTAAGAGTATTGTAAATTTATTAGTAATATTCATGCCATTTTTAAAAAATTAGGCTTTCTCTAAATTACAAGATTAAAATATGTTTTGATATTAAATAAAGCTATTTATATACAAAATACTTAGCAATATGGTCTTCATCACTTTGCATATTATAAATAAAACCAACTTCTGACCATCACATTTGAAAGTGTTTCTATCTCCCTTCACTGTTTTTTTGTCTGTTATACATCTTATAACATACATGTATATGTGTATGTAATACATATGTACATATATACATATATATTATTTAAAACTTAAATACACATGTTCTCTTTTCCCTTTATCTTGTTTTACTAGAATATAAATATCCATGATGACTGATCTTTTCTTGTCAGTTTTCTTCACTTCAGCATTTAGAAAAATGAAGGCAAAGACAGTATACATTGAATAAATGTTACATTTTTTTGAGCCAGGATACATTTTAAAAGTTGGTTTTAATGAAATCTGAATAATATTATTTGGAATTGTCCTTACTGCCACTTCAATGTAGTAGTATTCTTAAAATTTCTGCCATATTATGCATGTTTTTGGATTTGAGCTCAGGTCCTCAAACTTCTAGGCAGGCACTTTACTGCATGAACCGTGCCTCTAGTCAGGTTACGTATATTTCGTAGACTTTAGAATTGGACTTTTTTGCCCAATTGTCATCTGTTATTTTTGCAAGAGTAAATATTATAGCATAACTTGCTTATCTCTAGTTTATTGTAAGAGCTGATTGAAATAAAAAACTAGATCTCTTAAAATTCAGATTTATTTTTAAAACATAATTTATTTAGTCCATTTTTCATTTATTTGATAACATTTATTGTGTTCTAAAAATATAGAAATTTACAAAGAAAATTGAGATAGCTTATAATGTAACCAAATAGAAAACCTCTGATGGCATTAAAACAAATGATGTAAGTTTCTATTTGAAAACTTAAACAGAATAACATGAAATATAAATATCTTGGGTTTTGTCTACCTGCCACCAGATTGCTCTCTCCACAAATAATTGATATTTTCTCTTTTTTATAGGTATTCAATGAAGGGAAAATTCTTCCATCCATTGCATTACTATATGCATGTATGCATGTTCAATAAATACAGGTGAAAGAGAACACATGATACATAACACTTTGGACATAGTAATTTTTCTAGTCATAATATGCTTTGAAGATCTTATCATAATGATAGATGCATATCTACCTCGTTTGTTTTAATGACCGAATAGTTTTACACCATATGGATGTACTCCACTGGGTTTAACCACTTTCCTTCTTGTAGACATTTAGTAAATGTACTGCATTAACTACATTTATATCTTAGCTTGTTTTTGTAGCATATTCATGGAGTTGGCAGTATATTTCTAGCAGTAAAATGGCTTTGTCAAATGATTCATAAATTTAACAATTTTAATATTACCTGCCCTATTGAACTATAACGCTCTTATGTGTCTCAGAGGGTGAGCTTCTCATTATATGTTAATGTAGTTGGGTTTTGTATCTTAGTTGTGATGAAAGAATACTTCAGGAAAAATAAAATAGGGTTAGTCGTTTTATAATCTTGGTTGAAGCCAAGAGTGAGCATTGAGTAAGAAATAAGGAAATAGAAATCATTATCACTGTCTGGGGAGGGCAGACAGTTATTGAAGATATTACTCATGCTTTTTATCCAAGGTTTTTGTTTATACAACTCATAGATAAGCTGCTACAACCCTAGGCTATTTCAGTCATAAAAATGAGATTTTCCTTTAAAGATTGCTCCACTTGCCTACTCAATTACAGTTCCCTGGTATGCAATTCTTAATTCCTGGTTTTCCTCTGCATCACATTAACTGGCATGAGTCCTAACTATCCTTAAATTCTAGATTAGGTGAGTTTTCACTGGCTTTGGGGGATCTTTGGAATCTGAGTCTCTTAAACAATGTGAAACTTCTCTGTTAACCACAGACAGATTGGAAACCCACTCCCATCTGTCATGCCCTGCTGCCAAAACTGATCTCATACAGGTACTCTTTCAGCAAGAAAATCTAAATAGATGTTTGCTGTTGTTGCTTATCTTATGGCTTTTTAAAATTAAATATTGGAGGAGACAGATATCTTCTAGAATAGAAAGAAAAAAATTCCTAAGTCATCTGTGTAGTCATAGCACGTAAATGATTAGAAGAAGTAGAATAGAAAGAGATTATCAGTTCTCAGCAGACACTATTTGCTTTAATTTACAATAGCTTGAAAGTATAAGTGAATTTTATTCCAATTAGCATCCAAAACTGCAAGAACATAATCCTTATAAAATATTCTGATCCCTTCTTTGGCTATAATTCTTTTAAGGCAGTTTGGAAAACTATGTAAATTAAAATGGTTAACATCAAAACTTATTTGACAAACTGCTAATAAAAGAGCTAGTTGGTAGCTTCTTTTATAACATTTTATTGTTATGAAGAAAAATTGTTTTACATTAAAAAGATAATTTTCATTCAAATAAAGAAAATCACTTAATTTTTTGTTACCATGGCCCAGACTATAATATTTTATAGTTCCTTATTAATTTCCAATGTCTCTAGATACTTTGGAAGGAACAAATATTACATACACATGTAATTTAACACATTATCATACACTTTTCACAGAAGCATAGAACAACAGAATGCTCAGTGAATAGAGGGAGCTAGTTGGGGAAAATCTTCCACTTCAGGGCCACAATAGAAGAAGCAACACTGTAGTTCTCTCATAATTACTATTCCATCATGAACTAGCTAAAACTCAGTGAACCACTGAAGATGACTTACAGCATTAGAGAATTCTAGTTAAAAGGGAAGTTTATCTTATTCTGTCACCTCCCAGTGTGCTTTACTCACATGAACAATAGTCTGCAAGGCAGTTCAGCACATCTGACCCAACAGGCTTCAGAGGATACTGTAGTTTATTCTCAACTGTAAGTTCTTCCTTTCCATCAACTTGTAAATTTCTTATTTCTTAGTTTTTCTTCTGTCCATGCCCCAGAGGCTCAAATATGATGTTTATTATTGCTAGAGTAGGCCAGGCAGTCCAGACAAATGATTGACTGTGGCTAAAGAGTATGTTTGCTTTACTTTTAACTGTAGTTTAACTCATGGAGAAAGTTCATCTCAAATATCCTCTGAAAGGACATTTCTTTAAAAAAAAAATGACCCTTCAGTTCTTTTGAAATTTGAATGAAGTAGTTATTTTTTAGTTTAAAAGAAAGGGCTATACTCTGAGTGATGTATTTTCATGCATCAAAAGGAATGTTTCCTCAACAGGAAACATTCTATAATTTTGAAATACTAAGATTGAAAATGAAATTATTATGTCACTCACTTCACACTTAATCTGACTTAATCAGACTTAATCTGTAAAGGACTGAAGAAACAATGGGTTCACATAGTGAAAAGGGTTTATATATGACAGCTAAAATCAGCCACCTCTCCCTATTGTTAGCTAACACAAGGCAATGCAATCCTATTCTTAAAGTAACCTAGTGTTGTCAAAATAAACATCATGTGTAAACTTGGACTTTGCAAATGATTACTCCAATCAGCAGAAACTCTAAGCATGAGATTTCACTCTGTATCTTGAATTTTCAGTGATTTTTCCCATTCAAGGTTGTTAAAGAAATATTTGATTCCTTTTTTAAAAAACCCACAGAATAATGGCTTTAAATTTCTTTCCCCCTTAGGAATGTGTCCATTTAATTTATATATATATGTGTCCATATATATAT